TAGTTCGTCCTTTTCTCTTTCTCACCTGGTCACTTGTGTACGTATACTCTCTCTCTCTCTCTCTCTCTCTCTCTCTCTTCTTCTTCTTCTTCTTCTTTTCTGTTCCAATTAGTCGCATTTCTCCTCCAGGTCTTCAAATTCATCACTTTTCTCTTTCTCTTGTTTGGGATTTCGTTTCTCTTGCTCTAGTTGTTGTTTTTGTTGATGTTTTTCTCGTTATTGTTGTTGTTTTTGTTATTCTAGTTGTTGTATTTGTTGTTCTAGTTGTTGTTCTATTTTTTGTTTTGTTTTTCTAGTTGTTTTTGTTCTTCTAGTTATTGTTTTTGTTGATGTTTTTCTAGTTGTTTTTTTTATTCCGTTTGTTTGTTTTTGTTCCATTTGGGTGTTGTTGTTTACATTGTTTGCAAGTGTTTGTTTTTATTCCTCTTGTTTATTTACTTAAGAATCATTCAATATCTATCATTGTGTCTAATCTTAAGACCAAGAGACGAAGTGAAATGTTCTAAGGTGTTCTTACATCAACAACCAATAAAAAAATAATTATCCTACGAAGCTTTGAGAATCTATTTTGTGCTGTACCTTAACTGAGTAACTAATTTTTCATCTGCAGTCCGGTAAAAAATTAATGTAGGACCCCTTTAAAAATGTAGGTATTCTTGCATTCTTATGTGTGATCTGGTATAAAGAACAGTAACGTGTTTATATATTTCTAAGGTATTCTTATCTATAATGTGTTTAGGAGATTATATGAAAATGTTGATCTGTTGAAACGTTCATATGTTCAGAAGAGTCAGTTAGAATCGTTCTTGTATTCAGTAAGAGTAAGATATAGTTTAACCTTATGATTTTCTGAGAATCCATCTTTGTGCCGTAGCTCTAGTGAATCAGTTTGCGTGTTTTTATGGTCTTCAGTTTGAGGGGAAAATTAAACTTGACAAGAGTTTTTTAAGGTTTGGAGTTGAGACGACCTTGATGAAACACAGAAACACATACTGTCAGTGGGATGCTCTCGTCTCCGCCACACAATTTGCATGTAACGTTGAAGAATGAATTAGTCGCCTGGTTGGCCACACTACAGAGATGTTGTTTACTGCTTATTTCAGAGACTCTTCTGCTCACGACAGCTGAGTATTATGTAAATGTGCTCGATCTGTATGTATGACTTAGGGAAACCAAACTGACAAGAGATAAGTCTTTCATAGGACGACTGTGTCTCTTGATAGAGCTGTGTGTGTATGGATGATATGTGTGTGTGTGTGTGTGTGTGTGTGTGTGTATGGCTGACGTGTGTGTGTGTGTGTGTGTGTGTGTGTAGCATAAGTGCCAGTGTGGACGAACTTGAGCGTATGTCTTCCAGCATTATGGGCAAGTGAGAGCATATATCTGATGCCTCATAGAATAACTGGACGTGTGGTAGATGGCTGATAATGTCCACCAGGATAACGAGAAGCACCGAATCTAACTGAAGCGTCTGTTGTGCTTTACTGTTTAATTACCTTGTCTGTGTTTGTTTGTGTTGTAAGAGGAAACAAGAAACACCCAGACATAATATTGAACTTATCGTTATGTAAGTTGTGTTCATGTATTGCTAAAAGGTCAGAGTTCAGGGTCACACGAACAAGTGGGGGGTTTACTTCTCTTCAGTTAATTGTAGTTTAAATTAAAATGGTCTCGTGTGTTAATTAAAAATAGTGTTTATATAATTGATACCAAAATAACGTGTTGTATTTTTGGTTTATTTAGTCAGTCTGTTCTCACTTTTACTGACCTTACTGATAGTGTTTTTATCCATGCGAGTTTTATTTGCGTTTTTTTTTCAGATGTGACTTAACGTAACTCAAAGTATTCTTGAGTCATTCTCGTGTTCAATGTTTCTCCCAGAAGTGATATTCCAGTGAGAAAAAAAAAACTATTTCCTTGTTTTGATGTAAATATCGTATTGTACAGTTGTCGGTGGTTCCCCAAGTTGACGTTTCCCGGCTTGGCTCCATCACAACCAGGTCATCAGCACCAGAGTTGACTTGTTGGGTTTTAGTCCACAACTTTTGGTCCCCGCTGTGCTCGCTCACACAACTTTTAACTCACGCGACAAATTCGGGTCCAGTTTGTTGTGGCGACGGTGAGAAGTTTGTGGTGGTCAGTCAGCAGGGAGGTGGTGTGGACACGGTGGCACACACACAGGCACCCGAGCAAACACATGTACACTAACATACACGCAAACATACGTACACGCACATTGATGCAAACACGCTTATGTACAGCACCCCACTACAAACACATAACCCCACCCCCTCACCCCACACACCGTCATCCCACACACACCGTCACCCCACACCCCCTCACCCCTCACATCACCCCACACACCGTCACCCCACACACACACCGTCACTTACACACCGTCACCCACACACACCGTCACCCCACACACACCGTCACCCCACACCGTCACCACACCGTCACCTCACCCCACACACCCCTCACCCACACACCCTCACCCCACACACCCTCACCCCACACACACCTCACCCCCCTCACCCCACACCCCCTCACCCCACACACACCCCCTCACCCCCCTCACCCACACCCCTCACCCCACACACCCCCTCACCCACACACCCCTCACCCCACACACACCCCTCCCCACACACACACACACACACCCCTCACCCCACACACACACACACCTCTACCCCACACACACACACACCCTCACCCCCCACACACCCTCACCCCTCACCCCCACACACCCTCACCCCACACACACACACACACCTCACCCCACACCCCTCCCCCACACACATCCCCATCCTCCCACACCCATCCCCTCCCACACACACCCATCCCCCTCACACACACACACATCCCCCTCCCCACACACATCCTCCCCCACATCCCCCTCCCCCACACACATCCCCCTCCCCACACATCCCCTCCCACACACATCCCCTCCCCACACCCATCCCCCTCCCACACACTCCCATCCCCCTCCCACACACACACACATCCCCCCACACACACATCCTTCTCGACTAAACACTGTAGGTCTACCAGGTCACAGAATCTCACTTAATAACCGCTAAAAATAGTGAATGGTTATTGTGCTCTGGGTAGTAATGACAGTAATAACAATATTTAATACCTGGCATTGAACCTCGGCCAGCTGACGCTACACAAAGGCTAAAATAAGTAGGTCGGTTGCGTCTAGCTGCATTTTTATAGCTCACCGTTGACGTCATAAGCCAGCAGTTTTATATTGAAGTGAATGAAGCTTAATTAGTTAATTTTGCTGTCTGAACTCGGCTTTTGTCATGCTCTTAAAATGTAGTAAAACGTTGTATGAACTCTAACTATGGTGGAAATTGTCAGGGTTATGCTCTTTAAAGCTCTAAGTTGTGTCAGGGTTAAGTTAGCTGTTTGTTCTCAGTGCACGGCAATATAGGTGTTAAACTATATGGGGTGAGTTAGACTCGTACTGTGGCCCAGGTAAGTGAATAGTGACTTCAGTAACGTATAATGACATCAGAAACGACATATTGACTTCAGTAACGACGTATTGACTTCAGTAACGACGTATTGACTTCTGTAACAACATATTGACTTCAGAATATGTATTAACTTTCTGTAGGTTAACTATATATTGACATTATTACCAAAATATTAACTTCAGTGACGAATATTAACTGCGATAATTAAGTGTTTGATGTCATAAATTATATACTGATGGCCGTAACTAATTATCGATGTCAGTAATGAAGTATTGATATCTTTAGCTAGATATTAATGGGTGAAGTTAAAAATTGATGTCTAGGTAATTATCATTATCTGTAGCTAAATGATGTGTGTAGCTTAGTGCGGATAGTCTGTAGATAAGTACTGATGTCTGTAGTAGCTTAGTATCGTTCATTCAGCCATACTTTTAGCCATACAACCGACCTATCAGTCATAACCCATGTATTCAACCATACGAATCTACCTTCACTCATACAAGTATACATTTATACATACATATTGTCTCCTATCCAGCGGCAACTCGGGACATTTGGGTGTTAATGGAGCGTTGGATAAGCCTGTGCAGCTCAAGAAATGTCCTACCTTCCTGGGATAGTCCTGCAGCTCGTTGTCTCGTCAAGGTAGTGGTGTTGATGACAGCTTCTTCACGCCACATACTCGCCGAGGTGTTGTATGTAAGTATGGCATTTTATGTATGGATGGAAACTGTATGTATGTATTTCTATTCCGCGTTAATCATTAGGAAAATCGTTTACGGGGATACGAATTAGCCAGTGCAGTTGGCGACTTGTTCTGTATATCAGAGTCACTTCCTGGTTACGTGTCTTATAACTCGTTAACTCAATTTTCGGGATTTTTGTTTGGGCGAAGACCTTTATACCTACGTACACCCCTTACACACAAAATCACACACACCGACATACAATCACTCATACACACGCACATACCCTATACACACCATACAACTATTGAACCCCCCAAAAAAACTTCACATGAAACCATACATACTGTACATGCATACGAACATACAACCATACATAAAACTCTACATACTTTATCATTACAAATCCATAAATAAGTACATGTGGCTCACCATACTAACCCTACTATACATACATACATACTTGGGTACGAACACAAATGATCATGCATAAAAACATACAACCATTCATACACACATCCATATATACTTGTATATACACAACCCTACATACAGAGTCATACATACATATACAGCCATAAATACAACCACAATACAAATAACCAATCATACATACGTGCAACCACACGAACAACCATACATACATACATACATTCATATCACCATACATACAATCGTATAACCATATAGTACAGACATACTCATGTAACCATTATATTCCATCCTACATATATACTGTACTAACATATACAACATTCATACAAATACACTACACATTATAGGCACGGTACTATACTGTATAGGATTTACAGAATTGCAAGGAAAAATATTTACATTTTTTACATATTTATTTGCATAATATTAGCTTAAAATTTAGCAGTATGTACAAACCTGCACTATTTATATAAAAATACACCACCATGTACAACTGGTATTTGATTATCCAAATAATGTTATCAAGTGACGGACACGGGGCTGAAATTTTGTGTCGTTACAAATACCAAGAACAGAACTGTAGTCTTCATAATTTGGGTTTAGCTAAGAACTGTACGTAAGAGAAATAAAGGCATAGTTTTTTTCCCCCTTACAATAAAATATGATAAAAGTATATAATATTATGCGACTCATAAGACTTGTTCTAGCGTTCATGGACCAATATAGTACACATACAGGGACGCCAATAGTTAAATCCTGTGTCGTCATTGTGGACAGCAAGAACCCGTGGCTCTAATCTTTATGATGATAGCCCACGAAAATATACAAACTGAAATCAATTTATCGCAAGCCTTTGCTCAGAGAAATTGTCTTTAAAATAGGGGAAATTTCGTATTAAAATTTTTCTTTCTTTTAAAATATAGAATAAATAATTCAGGTTAAAAGCACATGGTCAGAAAATAGAAACAAACACCTCTTTCTTTAAGTCTACACGGTATAAATGAACGGCAGAAAATTCGACTCGCTGGTCTTTAAGTCCAGCTCAGGACGTGAATGATGGAGGTATGACATTCTCCAGACACCTTCCCAGTAAGTCCATGATACATGACAACCTTTCTCCGAGCGTCGGCGTTGCGGCTGTCTGGAATCAGTCATGTCTCTGGCTACTGTAAAAAATAATGAATATGGCTAACATGTGAAAAAGTGTTTTTAACGTGTAGCATACAGCAGTTCAGCAGCTTCACGGACTGATGCATTACTCAAACTACAACCCTAAATAACGCACCGTTTCTCGAGTTTTTTGTAATAAACTGAAGCCTTTACATGTATCCCTAAAATTTTGTATTCCGTGAAACTGGTGGACTACCTAAGCTTGGGACGTGGACAAAGATGACTAGCTTTGAAGGAGCATAGGAGAGATAGGACGAACATTCTGTAGCATCTTTTGGTTAAGGAGTTATGCACCTCTTGCAGCAGTAACAGCAGCAGCAGCAGCAGTTCGGCCATTATGGGGGAACGGTCCCAGTCTTCACACAGTTCTCACAGCACGGTAACTATTCCTTATTTGATTTTCCTTTCACAGCTGTGTATATATATACTGTATATATATATATATAATCAGATACACATGTAACACTGATATACCATGGGACACTTGTCTCTCTGACACTGAGATGAGTGTGGTGAGTACTGTTCTCAGCCGAGCAGAGTACTGTACTGTACTACTCTTGGAATGTATTTTGTTTCCCCGAGGTTGGAGCTCCAGCAGCTGGCTCGTTGACACAACAGCGAGGATAGTTGCGCTCGTCGACCCACCAGTGAGGATATTATCGCTCGTGGACACACTAACGAGGACAACTATGCTCACCGACACATCAGCGAGGACCACTGAGCTCGTCGCGTCACCGCCGCCACTCCACAGTCCATCATCTCCTCCCCCGCAGATGCTTACTCTGCCCCTTCTTCCTCCTTATTGAAAATAAACTGTGCTCATCCATTACATGTTGACATACTACATGGCAGGCTGGCACCACTCAGACGGCAGGGCAGGTGTGCTGATGCTCGGTCTGGCAGATCGTCAGTCCGTCAGGCAACATGTCAGGAGACATCTGGGATAGGCAGTCTGTCAGCCTGGGATGCCTGCAAAGCTGTCAGCCATATAACCAGCAGGACCGGGCGACTGCCAGAGTGAAGAACAGTACAAAACATGCACGCGCGTCAACACAACAAAAAACGCACGAGACACAGCACTGCAGGCCACTTTGGATTTGAGATTCAGAAGGTATTGTGAAGCATTTCACATGTGATACTGCACTACAGTTAACTCTTCATATAACTTTCAGTATATTTCTTTTCAATCTCATTTTCTTTGTTTCCTCTGACACTTATAATCTTCACCAGTTGTGCAGAGGTTCTGTGCTCATCAACGTGTTCACTAAGTGACACCATTATTTGTGATTCTGTAACACTGTCCGTCACACTTACCACGAGTTAGGCACAAGACAGTAAACACTCGTCTCCAGTATCAGCCCGTGCGCGCGCTCGCACACTTACTGGAATGCTCTACGCTTTAAAATCACAGACATTTGATTAAGTACAGCAGATGAAACACGTACACAATTCTATATAACGAACCAGCGTCGTTGGATACAAACCATAACTGGAAGGAATCATGCAGTGTTATGACAAGTTTTTTCTTCTTTATAACAAGGAATCCAACACAATAACTTTCTATTTCATCATACACCTACTCTTTGGCTAGGAACTAGGCAAGTAAGTAACAGCAATGAGATTTAAAGTCATACAGAAGGCAACCACCGGAAACTGGCACATGTGTGGTGAGAGCCTGGGTGATGAGTCTTCACACCTCACGGTTCAGAGGCTCTCAGCACATGGATGTGGGTTCTCCGTTTATAGTGCACATCACATTGTCCAATTTATGTGCTAAGTGTAGACTTCTGCAGTCTGGATCTACCTCAAGAGTCTCAATAATCGAATCATAATATCTGGTAACGTAAGTGTGGAACAGTTCCTGGAGGGCGTGCTTGGCGTCCAGCTGGCCCAGATGGGTGAGGCTCAGATGGTGCAGATAGGCAGCCATGTCCTGGTCTGTTACAGGTGGGAGTGTTCGCACACCCTGGTAGAACGTCCGCACCATCGCCTTGTACTGTGAGATGTCCTTGGCAAAGAGTAGTTTGTTGGAGGGCGAGTCTTTGCCAAGGCGGTGTTCCGTGGTGGAGCAGGCGTCCATGAACGTCTGGGCGATCACCGACAGGCAGGAGTCGACTGTGGGGCTCTTGTACACATCAAGAATGAAGTCCGGGTTCTTGATGAAGTTGACCCAGAAGCGGAGTGGCAGGCTGTTGGATTTCCAAGCCAAGACCACCTCCGGATCGACGATGCAGTGTCGTCGAGAGGCTTCGTCGAATAGATCAAATAACCACTTGATGGCCGGAGGAAGTGTCTCATTAGGGGCGAGGATCGTTTTAAAGAAGTCATCTACGAACTTCTGGACGGTGCCCTTCGTGGAGAGGAGCCTGGTGAGGAAAATCTCCGGGATGGCCTTGTGGGTTCGCTCTCCACCTCTGTGGGGTGAGTCGTGGTCCACAGGCTTCACCAGGTGGTAAACGTTGGGCTCCAGTGTGCCGGACTCTGTGTCTCCACAATGGCTCACCGGACTACCAGAACCGGTTATCCCATATCCGGCACCTGCAGAGAACACATTAGCTTTAGTTCGTGTGATGGAGTATGTATGTTAAAGACTAAAGACTAATAATACTTTCATTTTAAGTCGTACAATATTATCATTTTTTATGAAGTAAAAACATAATATACAGTACTGTTGTAACTTAAATTCAGATCATTATTACAAAAACTTTAATTGATCTTTATAGAGAAATAAATTAATATTTCCTTCCATTCTCATACAATAACAGAATGGCAACTCTTAATAAAATTACAATATTGGATTTCCAACTCATCTACATTTTCCAGAGCTAAAGGAACTCACAGCTATTACACTTGGTGGTGCAGTTGGCGTTGTTGAGGGTGTGGTGGTCGTGGGGGCGGTGGACCAGGGCCATGATAGCAGAGTCCTTGACACCGTAGTGGGCGAGGGTGTTGAGTCGCCTCCATCCGCTGGCCTCTGGTTTCGTCGTCATGTCTTCATCGGCCAGGATCAGGTGTCCGTTGCGACCGTGACGCCACTCTGAGGTAAATAAAATAACCATTCAGTATATTTTCTCCATAAATTAACAACAACAAACATTTTAGATATTTGTAAAGTATAGAACAGAGTCGCTTGTACTCTGATGGTCACCTGATGACTCGCTAGTACTGCCCCGCCGTCCATACCGAGATATAACTCCTAAACAATACAAGGTACTGAAAGAAGTCCTCTGAAAACTAACTAAGGATAAACTTTAATATTTATTTCATAACGACCATAAGTGATTTATTTAGATAACGACGGTGTTCCTCTGCAGTCAGGACACGATACCCAACACCACAGTCTGCCTGCACAACAAACTGTAAAAATAATACAAAAGTAAAAAAAAAAACTCCCTCAACAACTGATGCCTTTGTCACGTTCAGAGAGGACAAGTTCACGTGTAATAAACCTAAATGTACATACACGGAAATAAAATCCAGAAAAAAGCGCGGGAACATAGAGAACCCAGCGCCCGTGCGGCAACATTGCAATAAAAAAATGAATTTTGCTCCATAAAAGCGAATAAACGAGGCGTGAAAGGTTAATTGTTTAATTTTTGGCAGATTGTCCCTAATTGATTACACTCATGCGTTTATTTCATTACCTTCACCTAAAAACCGACTGACAAAAAGGCCAGGCAGCGTCCGTGTTGTGTTGTGCAAGTTCGGGCAAGTGTGGGGCTGACTGACACCCGGCAAGATTTGCATATTTAACAAATATAGATATTTTGTGATTTTTTTTTATGAGTGACACATGCGGGTGGGGAGCTTCATGGTTCACTCTGCGGGGCATTTATAAAGTGTAGGTGATATAATCTGACATATTAATTAACTGATAAGGCTTAAAGTGCCTCGTTGCATAAAAATTATTACCCCAAAGCTGATATTGATACCAGTAGTATTGCATTCAACTTATGTTACGGTGAAGATGAAAAAAAAATATGTTCATAGGCCGAGGATCGTTGTATATCTACACCAGTTAATACCACATGATAACTGGACGGGAGATGCAGTTAACTACTGTATCAAATGTTATAATTTACAGCTTAAAACGCCCTTGGCTGAATACATTAAAGTCATAATCAAGAGCAAGACGAGTACAAACAAATCAGCTGTTAGTGGACATGAGTTCTAAATCATCCGAGTTATTGACAGACAGACAGACGAATTATATACAACCGCTACAGTTCCCCGCAACATAAAATTTAAAGAAAACACATAATGGACACAAATAAACCCTGGAGTTAAGGGGATAACTGACCTAAATCGACCTCGTGGACAGAGGGTCGGAGGGACTGTGGGGTGTTGCGGTAGAGGGCGTCCAGGATCTTGGCCTTCACCTGGTTGATGGTGTCACAGTCTAGCACGCGGCACTGGGCCTTCTCACCGTCCTCTCCCACCACCGCCACCGACTGTAAATAATAATAATAATAATAATAATACATCAAGAACTGGTGCGGTACTAAAAGGGACCCTTAGGTACTCCAGATTTGCAGCTCATTACTCTGGGTAACGTAACGTATCATAAACAGTAAACGTGCGATGTAGTATTAAAAACCACTAACATTAATACAACGCGTTATCATACATGGGGTTTCATGTTCAAAATGTGGTACCATATAGAGCCTTAATTCTACACTACATATATATATATATATATATATATATATATATATATATATATATATATATATATATATATATATATAGATGGATGAATATTTAAACATGCCTATACTCAAATATTAATTAAACTCGGGTAAAACTAGATTAGAAAGTTAGACACAAAACAATAGGCCTAGAATTGATGTGGAAGTTATTGTGGGGGAAGAGACAAGGCCTAATGTTTATCCTGCTTCCATTTAGGCTCACACCCGTGTTATCCCTCGGCTTACGGATGATCCCACCCCACCCGACCACACCCGACTCGACAAACCCTGCCATGAGCTCCTACCCAAAACCTGCCTCATTGTAGCCCCTGGTGTGACTTATTCTTATATCCTGTCTTCATGTGGCCCCAGTAACCCTGCCTTCATGTGGCCCCCAGTAACCCTGTCTTCATGTGGCCCCAGTAACCTTGTCATGTTCATGTTTGTCTTCATGTGGCCCCCAGTAACTTTGTCTCTCATGTGGCCCCTAGTAACTTTGCCTTCATGTGGCCCCCAGCAACCTTGCCTTCATGTAGCCCCCTGTAACTTGTCCCTGTGGCCCCAGCATGTAGCCCTGCTCAGTAAACCTTCATGTCCCCAGTAACCCTGCCTCATGTGTGCCCAGTAACCTTGTCTTCATGTGTCTCTAAAACTTTGTCTTCATGTGGCCCCAGTAACTTTTGTCTCTCATGTGGCCCCAGTAACTTTGTTCATGTTGCCTTCATGTGGCCCCCAGTGCAACCTGTTTCATGTAGCCCCCCAGTAACCTTTTCATGTGGTCCCCAGTAACCCCTGTCTCTGTGGTCCCCAGTAACCTTGCCTTCATGTGGTCCCCAGTAACCTTGTCTTCATGTGGCCCCCAGTAACCTTGTCTTCATGTAGCCCCCAGTAACCTTGCCTTCCTACATGTAGCCCCCAGTAACTTTGCCTTCATGTGGCCCCCAGTAACCTTGTCTTCATGTAGCCCCTAGTAACCCTGCCTTCCTACATGTAGCCCCCAGTAACCCTGCCTTCCTACATGTAGCCTCCAGTAACCCTGCCTTCCTACATGTAGCCCCAGTAACCCTGCCTTCACGTAGCCCCATCCCCAGGCAGCCCCCTGTAGACCCGCCACAACAAACCTCACTCACGTCTTCGATACAAAAGATCAACTTTGTTATTCACGAATGCAAATTGATGGCATCCTGTGTACTGTGGAAGAGATCATGGTGCTGTGGATATCATAATGCTGTGGATGTAACCATGGTGCTGTGGATGCAAGCATGGTGTGGATAGTGGATATCATGGTGGTGTGGATGGCAAGGTAGGGATGAAGAGAAAGGTAAAGGAGGTGTTAGGGGGGAGGGAGAAGAAGAGAGGAGAAGGGGTAACACAAGCGAAAGAAGAGTCACAGGAAGGAAGATAATAAATCGGTGCTTAGTGTGGAGGGGAAGATGTGACAGAGATAGACCGACTAAAGACAGATGAGAGGGAGAGTTGATAGACCGGGACTGAGATAACGGAGGAGGAGGAGGACATGGAGAGAAAGGAGAGAGAGAGGGAGGAGGAGAAGGACGTGAAAAAGAAAACAGAGGAGGAAAGAGGGGAGACGAGTGGAAAGACATGAAAATAAATAATATACATTATACACCCACACATACACGGTCTCCCTCCTTGGTGTTCATGCACAAGAAAATGGCCACAAACACGTCATCAACAACAAGCAGAAAACCGCCTGTGCTTGTTTGTTTATTTACCTTTAGTCATCGCATATTTGATTTCCGAACATGACTGTGGCTTCGTATGTCTTCTGGAGTGCGTGTATGTGTGTGTTGGTGCTTGTCTATCAACAGGGCACTTATGGTAATTTTTACAGTGTGTGTGTGTGTGTGTGTGTGTGTGTGTGTGCGCGCGCGCGCGCATTCAAGTACTCAAGCCGGTGATCCGTGTTTGCCTAACCTCCGTGTGTCTGAGTTTTTTTGTGTGTGTTTAATTCTCACCTCTCGTGTTTTCTGTTTCTGCCGAGATGGTTAACATATTCCGTGCATCAGTAGACAAGTGGTAGTGTTTAAGTGTTAAATGTCGAGGGAATTTTGTCTCCAGCTGTACACTTCCAATATATTTACTTATCTCAATAATATCTTGATAATGGTAACTGTTGCACCAATCTTGTCGTGTCTCCAGATTCTCGATGAATAGATATAGTTTTAGATTCATAATGCCTCAAAGGGTTCAGCCGGGTAGTATCTATAATTCTATACACACATTTGCATAAACCCGAAACCCTATATAGGATGAGAGGGAAGTAAAGAGCAATAGAAACACGTCCTTAAAATAAGAATATATTTATTACATGCAAAACAGCGAGCAAAATTATACATGCAGATGAATAAAAAGCAGGAAAAAAAATTAGTTCATATAAGCAAATCAAAATACAGGAAATTCTGAAGGAAAATACAAAGAGTTGAGGCCAAAATTAATTGAGACAAACCACGAGTGAGTCACATTAATTAGAAGCTCAATCAACAAGGTGCGGTGACGTACTTTCGGGGTACTGTAGGGGATCTTGTCGTACTGTGGCTCGTCCCGCACCAAGTGGATGGTCTGTAGGGGCAGAACAAGACACCAACGATAGTACAGTGGTAGGAGAACTGGGGGTGGTGGAACGGGGGAGGAGGAGGAGGAACGAGCTGGTGGGGAAGGGGGTGCACCACTACTCTCCCTCCTTCACACAACATGGGAAGAGGATGTGAGAGGAGAGGATAAGGTTAGGGGAAAAGGATGGTAGGATGGGGGTGAAATAAGGATGTCTGTAGGTAGAAGAAAATGAAGAGTAGGATTGTAAATAGATGACAAAGGGTGTGGATGAAGGGTTTGGTGAGAGAGAGGATAATGATGATGGGGAGGAGGAAAAGACGAAGAGGGTGAATAGGTAAGGAGGTGCTCGAGGTATGTGGAGGAGAGAATAAGGACAAGGAGGAGAGGAACATATGTGAGAGAAAATGGTCTACGGGGATGAGAGTACAGTGTATATAACCAAGACCAAGTGGGTAGGCCAAGGAGGTGAGATGGGGGGGTGAAGGCAAAGGAGAAGGTGAATTGTACGTCAACAGCAGAATACAATATATAAACTGCGAAAGTATATAAACTGGTGGAGTAAATGAACAGATACAGTAGTGAGCAACAGGAGACAGAAATTAAGTAAAATAATACATAAACAGTTATTCATGCTAAAGAAATGTTCTGTAAATTTGTTAAAACATAAGAGTATCAATAGAGAGGAAGTGGTCAGTTTGATGCACAGAAATCACTCTTCTATATAATGCTAAGAGTGAATAGTTAACACACACACACACATTATAAAGCTTTATCCAGAACACTCACATCAGAGGCGGCGGTCTTTGATACATACAGGGTAAAGCTTGACATTCCCACTTATCTGTCAATAATTTAACACTCGTAGTCTCATAAGAACTTGCATGTCCTCCGGTACACAACAAACAGTGAATCCCTCCACTGTACTGTAGTTCCTCGGCTTGGACTTGTTGCCGGATTTACAGCACCAAATTCTCTGTTCTCTTTTATAATCAACATTTCCATCGCTAGAATTCGTTTACTCTTTTGAATTATTAACATTAGACTGACAAAAGCAACGTAATTGTGTGAGGGGGACGGGAGGAGAGCAAAGGGAAGCGGCGGAACGGGAGAAACAATATAAAAAATGAGGATGGTGGGACTAAGAAGAATGGGGCAGGGGAGGAGAATTTGGGGGAGAGTGGAAGGCGATGGCGTGTCCAGAACAGTGAAGGGACAATTCATCAGCGGGTCCCCAGGGGATGGTCTTCTCTGTGTACCACCCAAGACACAGCTGGTCCTCACACCCACCATGGCCACCCTCATCCCTGGCCACACCTCACACTTGAGCCACCCCTAGTCCATAAAGTGATGAAACACCCGAAGTAATAAGCCCATCCTAAACATGACTAACTAGGCAGTGAACTAGCCGCTCATATCAGATTATGTTTAGGCCAGACGCCATTATGTCGAACTATCGCTCACAACGAAAAGTCGCATTTATTGCCTTCAGGCCTCCCTAGGGACCCTGACCACCTCACAATCACCTCTACCTCCCTGGTCATTTCTTGAACTCTGGACATCCTTTGGCCCGTGGCTACTTTCTAGAGCTTGTTTGTCTCTTGGAACGTGGCAAGCGTTTGTTGGTGGACCATATTAAAGATTTCATCCCTCGGCCCTTGACCAGCTTTTGGAATGTGTTTATTTCTAGGTTCGTGGTCACCTCCAATGCTCTACCCCCCCCGACCCCCCACGGCTGTTAAAAATCCCAGCGTCCATAAGAACCTGACGATTTAAATTATCTTGATTTTTCGACTAGCCTGCAAACCCCAAACGTCTCCTGGACCCTGACCACCCCTAGGTCCCTTGCCTATCTACGATCTTGGCCATTCAATAGACCATGTTCATTAAAAGGTCTTTGGTCATTCCTTGGAGCCAGGAGAAGCTATATCCCTGGGGGCTGGGAGAGGGGAGAAGCAGCGGAGGGACTGAATAATGATGTGTGGACAGATAACCAAGGGTAGTGGGGTGCCACGCCCCGGGTTACCGAGTCTTGATGCAGGCGGAGGAGGGCGGGAGAATCGTAGAAATATAAATGACATTACTAAAGGTGAGATACACAAATTAGACATAGACACACAAGACACGCGAAGAATAAACAGAGAGAACCAGATAGACAAAAGTCAAATACATAATAATGAACAAGAAGTAATTCAATTAAACCGAGTAGTGACGAGTACCACCACCACCACCCAGACACCACACCACCCCAACACTACCACCACCACACCACTACCCCCACACCCCGACACTACCACCACCACCCCACACTACCACCAACCCTCCGCCCCCACACTACCACCAACCCTCCGCCCCACACCACACCACCACCCCGACACTACCACCACTACCCCCACACCACTACCACACTTCTCACACCACCCCCACTACAATAATGTGTGTTTTATACTTCTGATAATCCAACTGTTAATGAAGACCCATTATTGTTATTATAATAGTCAAGGAGAAATGTATAGAGATATCTGACTAGGTAAATTTATTCAACAAAATTCGTAATCTGAAGTAATGTCTTACCCCTATTTCAAACTAGATATACCGTGGGAAGGAATTCACTATACACCCGTACGACTACAGAGAAACGTCCATCAGTCTTACCGTGCCCAGTACTGTCGTCGCCAGCCTACGCCAGATGACCCGACCCACCACACCTAACGCGGTGCCTCACTGGGCACTTTTCCTCCCAACCGTGCTGGACTCGCACTGTCCGGCCAGCAAAACAAAGAGACTTTGCGTCACACTGGGTTGTTTTTGTTGGCGCGTCTGACCAACGCAACGAAAACTACAACAAAGCGTCTAGACGAGGTTCTCCATAGATACCGTTACAACACTTGAGCCTTGCAGCATTGTGCAACAGTTCTTCAATTGCAGCGGCTGGCAAGTGTGCCGCCGCCATAAACGACTGTACATGAAACATTATCTCTTAGCTGTAGAGAATATTCGGAGTGTTCCATCACAGTTTTTCACTATCATATCCTCCGCACCACCACCACTTCCCCCCCGTACCACCACCACCACCACTTCCCCTCTACCACCACCACCACTCCCCACCACCACCACCACCACTTCCCCACCACCACCCACCACCCCACCACCTCCCACCACCACCACTTCCCCACCACCACCACCACTTCCCCCACTCTCCCACCACCCACCACCACCACTTCCTCCCACCACCACCACCCACCACCACACTTCCTCCCCACCACCACCCACCACCACTCTCCCCACCACCACCACTCCCCACCACCACCACCACCACCACTTCCACCACCACACCACCACCACCACCCACCCACTTCCTCCCACCACCACGACCACCACCTCCCACCACCACGACCACTTCCTCCCACCACCACCACGACCACTTCCTCCCACCACCACGACCACTTCTCCCACCACCACGACCACTTCTCCCACCACCACGACCACTCTCCCACCACCACGACCACTTCCTCCCACCACCACGACCACTCCCACCACCACGACCACTCCCCCACCCTCACCCCACCACTCCCACCCTCACCACCCCACCACTCCCCACCCCACCACCACCACTCCTTCCCACCACCACTTCCATCATCACTCATCCCCACCTCCACTCCCTCCCCACCACTTCCATCCCCACCACCACTCCCCACCACCTCCCCACCACCACCCCCACCACCACCTCCCCACCACCACTTCCCCCACCACCACTCCCCCACCACCACCACCACTACTCCCCACCACCACCACTTCCCACCACCACCACCACCACCACCACTCCCACCCCACCACCACCACCACCACTTCCCCACCACCAACCACCACCACTCCACCCACCACCACTCCCCACCACCACCAACCACCACCACTCCCCACCACCACCACCACTCCCCACCACCAACCACCACCACCACCACCACTCCCCACCACCAACCACCACCAACCACACCACTCCCCACCACCACCACCACCACCACACCACTCCCCACCACCACCACCACCACTCCCCAACCACCACCACTCCCCACCACCACCAACCACCACCACCACCACCACTTCCCACCACCACCACTCCCTGTCCCACCACCTCACCACCACTCTCTCCCGTTCCACCACCACCCCTCCCACCACCACCACCTCCCCCCCCTCCCCCCACCACCACCCCCCACCACCACCACCACCCTCCCCCACCACCACCACCCTCCCCCACCACCACCACCACTTCCCTACCACCACCACCACCACCACTTCCTCCCCACCACCACCACCACTCTCCCCCACCACCACCACCACCACTTCCCCCTCCCCACCACCACCACCACTTCCCCTCCCCCTACCACCACCACCACTTCTCCCCTACCACCACACCACCACCCCCCCACCACCACCACCACCCCCCCCACACCACCACCACCTCCCTCCCCACCACCACACCACCACCCCCCACCACCACCACCACCCCACCACCACTTCCCCCACCCACCACCACCACTCCCCCCACCACCACCCCCTCCCCCCACCACCACCACCACCTTCCCCACCACCACCACCACTTCCCACCACCACCACCACTTCCACCACCACTCCCCACCACCACCTCCCCACCACCACTCTCCCACCACTTCCCCCACCACTCTCCCCCACCACTCCCTCCCGCCACTACCACTCATCCCTCACCCACCACCACCATCCCACCAACCCTCCCCCTCACCACCCTCCCCTCACCTCACCCCCTCCCTCACCACCACCTCCCCGGCCACTTCCTGTTTCTATGATAAAATTTTAAATGATTCGTTTTATTATAAAATTGAAAGTTCCCGTTTTCTATGATAAAATTCCAGCTTCCTGTTTTCTATGATAAAATATTTTTTTTTTATATAAAATTAAAATTTCCTGTTTTCTATGATAAAATTCCAGCTTCCTGTTTCTATGATAAAATTCCAGCTTCCGTATTCTATGATAAA